GCCATAAGCGTGGGTGAAGTTGGATCGTCGTGGAGGCTTTCAGGATTATTTTTATCTTCGCTATCTGATGAATCGGAAGAAAACTCTGGGGTTTTCAGAGGTATATCACGAATACCTGTAGAGCGTGATCTTGTGCGGAATCGATTGGTTAGTGGAGGTGAAGAGGAAGACGATGAATCTTTAGACGTTATGTTCACGGAACGAAACTTGCGCTTCTCGTGATTGTTAGCCGTCGAGGGAAATTCATCGTCACTAAATGGATTGCTCATTTTTTCATTGACTTCCTGGACATGCGTGTTTTGGGGGGTAGATATCGATATCGGATTTGTCGATGTCTGCGGCGGAATAGATGGCAGCACAGTTTCAGACGTTATTGAGGCAAATGATGTTGTGGAACTGTTTAAAACGTATTTTCTCAGAGTAACATCCTGATCGCCAACGAGTGTGTCCGCATTGTCCTTAAAGTAACTCCCTTTCATGGAAGACGAAGAGGAAGATGGGCACGAATGACTTGATGAATCTGTCACGGCCTTTTTATTGAGAATTAGTATATCCTCAAAGCTTTTAGAGAAATCATCCGAGATATATGTTTTATGATATACTAGTGGTGTCTGCTTTTCTTTCCCATTTTGTTCACGTTTTTCATTTTCCAATACCTCCTCCTCGGCCTTACAACCACCTCCGAAGATGACATCGATATTCTCAATAAACGTTTTAAAAAGGATTGAACCTATTCCCAGACTTGGACAGAAGAATAACCCCAAATTGCTTATATTCATCTTGTTCACTCCACTTTTATCGTCGACACGGGAAAGATGCTCACAGAGAGCACGGAGTAAGTAGAAATTATAAGGAGGCAAACGAGAAACAATTGAGGCCAAATCACGTGGGAGGTCTTTGGGGGCAACGAAGTTTGCCGCAGTGATCGGTCGCGTTTCCAAATTGGTGTATTTCGCGATGCATTCATTGAATTCCGGCAACAAGACCTCCGTCAACAACGGTTCGGGTACTATAAATTAATTTAGCATGGTGTAGTCAGTGGGTGATTTTTGCCACTAGTTATCATTAGCAAATTATTATTACATACACTCTCTAAAGTACATTTTTAAAAGTGTGGCCACAGCATGCGGATCTTCCTTCGAGCTTTGTAAAAAGTTCAAATCCGCACCTACGAAGTGAGGTGAGGTAAGGTTATGATTGACGATTGATCTCCTTCAGGTCACCAGTACACTGTTGTGAAATGAAAGAAACCTACACACCAGAATTGAAAATATCACGTATGCGGAGCTCCGTCGTTCTGATCCCTGGTATCCTGTTTCAGCAGGATGCATGAATGAAAGGAACGAATAATATTTATTGAATACTCGACAAAAAAGGTAAAGCGTACCTGTAAATACCTATTTCTTCTAAACCTGTAAAACAGTTTGAACGCAACAAAATAAATTAAGCATTTCATCGTATATAAAGTATTGTGCATGACAAAGTAAGCAAATAAGTCATACCATACTTATCCAAGAATTCTATACACCTCACTGCGACAGCAGGTAACCAGTACCTAAACGGATCTTTATAAA